AAATATTCAAAAGAAAGGCTCAACCCCTTCTTATTTATATTTTCCCATGCAAACCCTGTTGAAGTGAAATTCTATCTATATCTTAACTATACAACTGAGCTCCCGTTTGAATAAATGTAATATTTGTTGAAGGACAATGTATGTATATTATAACCTATAACCTATCACCGCTCAGCTTGTTACTAGTTTTTTTAAATTTCTGTATTCTCAATATTTATTGCAATATTCTGTAGTTAATAATCTAAAGGTAACTTATTATTAAGTCTATTTTTATAACTCAAACCTAAGTAAAAGGCACAACAGCCCAGGAAGGAATTTCATTACACTTACTACAATTTGGTACGATAAAGAATTAATTATTTTATTATTTTATAATTTATAGTATTTGACATAGGAGAGTTCACTATAATTCTTAGTATGAATTTTGGAGCGAATCTTGGAGTACCATATTTTACAAAATACTTCACTAATAGTAACCAATGATGTGTATGAGATATCTATGAGATGACTATAACATGACATGGTAGTATGATTATCTTTATATAGGCAGTGTTAATAATAATTTGTTATTTTACTCAAAATAAATAATTCATTATTTCACATTTACTGCTCATGTGAAAAACACTACTTTATAGTTTATAGTGACAGCGCTTTAATGTTAATTCAAAACCTGTCTAACCTCAAAGTGTTAGCTCTAAAAGGTCTGAATAGTTAATGGTGTCTATCCTCTATGTGATAGCTGTAACGGTTTAAAGCCTGCAGTGATTTTTTCCGAGTCATAGTCCATCTTAATGTCTTCCTTCAATTGGTAATGCTTTCAATTCAAATCTGTCTAACCTCAAAGTGTTAGCTCTAAGATTTGAATAGTCAACTGTGTCTATCCTCTATGTGATAGCTCTAACAGTTTAAAGCCTGCAGTGATTTCTTCCGAGCCGTAGTCCATCTTAATGTCTTCCTTCAAGTTGTAATGCTTTCAATTCAATCTGTCTAACCTCAAAGTGTTAGCTCTAAGATTTGAATAGTCAACTGTGTCTATCCTCTATGTGATAGCTCTAACAGTTTAAAGCCTGCAGTGATTTCTTCCGAGCCGTAGTTTATCTTAATGTCTTCCTTCAAGTGATATTGCTTTCAATTCAAACCTGTCTAACCTCAAAGTGTTAGCTCTAAGGTTTGAATAGTCAACCGTGTCTATCCTCTATGTGATAGCTCTAACGGTTTAAAGCCTGCAGTGATGTCTTCTGAGTCCTAGCCCATCTTAATATCTTTCCACTAATGATAGCATCTTATATGTTAATTAAGACCTGTCTACCTTCTGATTCATAGCGGTAAGGTCTGAATAGTTTACCATGTCTATCCTCATAAATGACAGCTCTAATGCATAGCATTTTAATAACTTATGCTGGATATTCTCTCAAAAATTTTAAGTTTACAGTAATTACTTCTGCTTCTCTGCACCGCTTAATATCTGCCAGTAGTATTTTTCGTTCTTATTTTATGATATATACATAAATCCATGTATATATTCTAAGTGACAGTTCTAACGGTCTGTATATAGCATCTATATAACTCCTGTTAGATATTTTTCCCAGCAGTTTTAATTCAATAGTGCTTGTGCATCCCTATCTCCTCAGTATTATACTTTCCCTTTTCCTTCAATACTGTCCGAAACTATGTACATGTCAAAAGTGGGAATAGTCTTGCCCAACTTTCAAATCATTGGTATGTTGTTATATTTTGCTACCTTGATGTCCGGTGATCATGTGGGGGTTCTCTTACGTTGACAATTTTTGGACTTCTTTTGCCAAACCCTTGTGAGACTTTCTAATACTTTTACATCTATAATTTGTAACAAGTTTTTCATTATGTTATACTCATAATATTGAGCCCTTTGTAATAAAAACTATACCATTAATTATCTTTATTTGATTGCTTCTAAATCTCAGTACCGCAAAATATTTTCTCATGTGAAAAAAAAACACAAAAACCTATGGTTTTTTGGCTCATCGACATTAAGAGGAAATACATACAAGAAGAATCGTCCCCCAATCTAATATAACTGCCATGGTTTCTGGGTCATGCCTACAGAACTCCATTGTTAAGTATATAATAATTTTATTATTTCTCGTTACTAATATGATCAAGTTATAGCTTTGACACTGCTTTATGATCTTGTTGAATAGACTTGAAAGACTTCCTCTGACTGTTTTTTGTTTACTTGGCTCAATTTTAGATTGTATGTTAAATTTCCGTATTTTTATTTAATTTAAAGTATTGAATCCTCAATAGTTAATGAATAGAACCCTCTCTATCTTGTTAATATAAGAAGCCGGATTTTTATCAACTCTGGGTAAAATTGTACAACATAAGTATTATTTAGTTGTAGTAAGTTTACTATTCATTATAACTATATTGTTTTGCTCAAAGTTTTGTATTGTATTCTACGATTCCCAAAAATATAAGCATATACTACTTTAATATAGAATAATATCTATGTAATTTACTCTCCATGAAGGACTAAAACCCAAATTTTTCGATTCCAGTCGAGAAGTGTCAATTTATATTTCAAACGGTTTTATGTGTTTAATTTTTTTTTTTTTTTTTTTTTGTAATATTAACTACCATCTAAGGTCAGAAATTTGCCACTGAATATATATTACATAACATTATATATACATTATTATATATAATGAGCTTTTAAGCACATTATTAACCTCATTTTACTAACAGCAACCAAAATGGGTTATGCACAATCTATCTAGTCACTATTTATATCAGTATTTTACATAATTCCCTCTTACTACAACAATTTATTTTGTTGCTAACATATTTTGGCAATCAGTGTATGCATCTGTCAGCATAACTCTATTGTGCTTTTACCATACCCAGTTTTAGTTATGAAGGTGATAATAATAACATGATAGTTATGAATGATACCATAATTAATTTTACTGAATAAATCCATTTTTATTTTATTTTTTAATTATTACTTCACATATTACTTATTTTTAACTTGTCATAACTTTTTAATATCTTACAATAGAAAATTATTTCCTATAATTATTTTTAAATTTCTTTTTAATTGTTTAATTTACCACTGTTTTAATAAGTGAAGTATGTAAGTTTATATTTTCCCAGATTGATATTTTATGTACAGCTGCAGGCCATTAATGCATTTGCAACTCATCATTCTATTTAAAACCTAATGATGCTAAAAATTCTTTCTTTCTTGTTACTTAGGTTATATTAAATTACATAAAACAGCTCGAATGCAATAATGTGCCTATGTTTAATTTGAATTAATTAATCATGGTCTCGATTTTAATTTAATTGCCTATCAGCCGAAATTTCTCCATATTATTTTATCGTCTTGTTATATTAATTGTTATATAATAATTATTATATTATATTCGTTTTACTATCTCAATAATAATAATTTATTGTTTACCTTCTATACCAAGTTTTTTAATTATATTTTGTTAATTTTTTAAAATTGACAATAATCTAAGTCATGAAACATTTTACAGGCTATCTGTTGTCTTTTTATTATTCTTTTAATAATTTAACAATATATTGTAATTCAATCTGATGCTTACAATACTATTTTTGTTTTGCATATCTGTCAAATCTGGTTTCATTCGCAACATGTGAAGCCAAATATATCACAAGGGATATAATTTAAATAATAGGTTTGGTTCAATCTTTCAGATTTTTCTAAACAGCCTATAAATGCTTATTTTTTACTCACTTTTTGCTTACTTATATTTTATGTGTATTTAACTTGTAACCTTTAGATATTTCATATCAAGGTAAAACAGTTCTCATATCACATTTTTTCTTATTTTCTTGTCATATTATCCATCCATCCATTACAGTCTATATAAGTCCACAGCTGCACATAGGCCTACCAACACTCAATGCCTGATAGAGGGGTGTCATATTATGTAGCTTTTTATTTTTTATTTTATGTGTCTACAAAATAATATGTAATAATAAACTGTCTTTATATTTAAAAATGCATCTATTAAATCCCATTTATTTGGGAATTAACAATTTTAAGGACTAGTAAACTGACTCTCCCTTACACACCGGATAATTTTGTCCCAGAATTCAGTAATTATTTCTAACTTGTTCTGCCAATTTTTTTGTGGATGTTAAGGGTTTACATAACCTTAATAAACTTATGAGTTAAGTTTATTTATAGCACTTATTTCTTTTCATAATCAGGATTTTCTGATACTAAAGAAAGTTTAGTTATAATCTCAGGGTTTATAATTTCCGGGTCTGCTGCCCCAATTTTCTGACTGATAATGGCGACTGTCCAACGTAAGTAAATGAAAGTAATAAAAACATTAATATATATCACTTAAAATTTCTCAACGTATCCCTGTACAATGTATCTCAACCCACAATTATAGGTTAAAATACCTATTTACTATTTCACAATATATGAGTGACGAGGTTATGTTATTAACCCTTAATAGTGAAATTGTTCGATAATACTTGTTAATAAATGGGCACAGTGAATCTGATTTTATTATTTAGGTAATAAATGTTTTAACTTTATTTATTTTATATACACGTGCACCTACCTCGAACAATAGGATTTTTGTTTACCTTTGATCGGTTAGCTCCATTTTGAATATCTTCCTTTCCCATTTTCCCAAGTACATAATCAAATTATTACCACGCAGATACGTAATAAATTTATTTGTAGTAGGTTTTGGATACAAAATATTTGATTTTACACTAAACATATTTAATTTTTACAACAAAAATTATAAAACACACTGTGACAGCTGGCACAAAAAAACGCAATGAGGTTGCATTGACGGACGGGTGGATACAGTGTTGCCAGATATACTGCTTTAAAATTTTTTTTAGTGAGCTTGGATAAATTGTGATGCTGGCATGGAATGCGGCGTACTACAATTGTTAAGAATGTCTAGGACAAGGAGGGAGTATAATCAATAGTTTTCTCACGTCATTTAATTTTTCTGTTTTTACAGGAACTCCAATATCAACGTAGGTTTAATATTTTCATAAGACTTTCCTCTTTTACAAACATTCCCATAATTGATCACTTCATATACATAATTAGGTTCCCCTTTGATTCCAGTTTTATTATTCTTATCCTTTCTCAGGAAAAATCTTTTAGAAGCATTAAATTTGAAATGCCAAGATCCTGGTAATTTCAGCACATTTGTAACTCTTGTTTTCAAGTCATAAAACTGGAAGTCACTTCCAAGTCTAATAACTTTACCATATCTTTTGAAAATATCAAAATAAACCTCGGGTTCCGCAATCACCTCTAAAGGGCGTATCTCTCTTTCGATATTTCCAAATATATGGTCGGGTGGCAAAAAAGGAATGCCCAACTACCGGAAATATAATAGTTATTTTTTTTAATTTGATTTGGAGCTTTTGTTTTAAACCGATATGCCAACATTACCAAAACTATGGAATTTTTATTTTGGCCCCCACAACCATCACAAAATAATTTTATATGTTCAATACTGCTATCAAAAGTGGTATTTAACAGCCTGTGAAATAATGCTGATGCCATCTGATTGGATCCTTTTAAAGCCTCGGTTCCGAGCCACGTGTATATAAACGTATTTGAATCATTTTGAGGACTACAAGATGGCCCTTGGCAGATTGTTAGTTTGTATGCATACAGTTGTCGGCTAAAGTAGGCACTTTGATCCGGCACTTTTGGTAGAACCTAATTCTTTTGACAATCAAAGTATAAGGTAATTTCATTGTCATTTTGCGTCTTAAGGCTAGTAGTAAAAAGTTTTGGCTTTTAACCTGTGAATCCTAAGCTACGCTATCAACATCTATTTTTTCGCTAGATCATTTTCACTTTTGATATTCTCTTTTAATTGAAAGCACTTAGAGCAAGCGTCAGTAGCCGGTGTCTTAAAACATAAATTAATTTTTTTTTAAATATTCTCCGAAAAAATTCGTATTTCACCGGCACATTTTGTGCTTCATTGTTATAAAGTTTGTGTATTTTTTTTATATTAAGGTCACTGCTCAGGTATTGTACAGTAGACCTTCCTCTCGTATAGTGTGATTCTATGGATTTAAGACCCTTTATAAATGACTTAACAGATTCTGTACGACCTGAATACTGTGAAGCTCTTCTATCACCACCTCTTCTTTCTTTCGGCAGTTATATAGTAGTTAAATCAATTTCTTGTATTCTGTCTTTAGATATTCCTAAAAGTGTGGTCATTGCTTTTTGGCATACTTTTTTTTAATTTGATGGAGCGTTTACCGCCAACAGTTGATTCGTACTTTGGAATAAAATAACATATTGTTTGAGTTTTTTTCTTGCATTCTATTTTATTTTGGAGTTTGAGCTGTGCAATACTTTAATAAAAATGTATCTTGAGTAATTTTGTTTGAAGATGCATAAAAATGTCTGTAAAACTTACTATAGTCTTGAGTCGTCAACTCGTTACATTTATAACCCTGTTTTAAATTTCTATGTACGCATTGTGGTATTTTTGGAGGTCCTTTAGCCACATATCTGCAACAAAACAGTAAAAAATAAACTACTTGTTCAATAAAATCAGACAAATTTAAGAGTTCGCCAATAATTGTTTTCATAATATTCAAATTCAAATACATTTATTTCGGACTATACATCCATAGCGTGTTAGTAATACATAGAGACTTACCCTAGTGTTAGTTATTTACAGAAATTTAAATCTAAGTACACCTTGAATAAAATAAATAAATAAATTTTCTATGATAAATTTATTTATTTATTAAAAGATAACCGAAATATAAAACTGTAACTTACCGTTTTGATTTTTCAACTTCTCTCTTCCAAGTAGATTTATCGGATATTTTCTTACATCCTCTTCTGTTAGGTGCTAGAATAACTTCTTTTTCTTGAAATTCCATTTTAGAACACAAAGTTGATAAAGAACTTTTATTTCGTAGATAGTAGATACGTGCGTGCACGTTAACAGTATCAAGCGTACTGGTAGACAAGATGGCGGCATCTGCACGAGTACGTTGGCGTCTTAGCGCCATTTGCAAGTGAATAGTAACTTAGACAGTTTTGAACGTGAACTGTCAAATATCATAGCGAATTTTGCAAGGGTATACCATATTTAGCCTCAAATTATTCGTAATGTAGCGAGTTTTGAAATAGTATGATAAATTTAGAGTAACAGTTTTTAAATTTCAAATACAATGGCCGCCTTTGCAAAAAAAATACCATTTTTTAACTTAGAGTGGTTTGCAAGTGGACTACTCAATTATTATTTTAAATAAATTTTTATTTTATATGTAAACACGTGTTAGCCTGTAAAAACTCCTGAAAAATCTGAAAACATTTCAGACCATTACCAAACATATTGTAAGTATATAAAAAAAATTCAAAATTTTTCTGATAATATTTCTTGAGTTATAAGGCTATTTGCGGTTTTTGGTTTTGATAATTGATTTTAAAAATTTAAAAACTCAATAAACTTTCATGACATAAATTCTATATATGACTCAAAAGAAATTTTAATCCTTAACATAACACAATTTTTTCAGAATTTTTGACCAATAGGTTTTAACATGTTAATTTAATTTTAAGAGCTAGAAGGTCATGAAAACTACGTTTTAACTGTGTTTCAGTATACAGGAAAACGGAGCCTCCTAGCACAATTCTGATAATTTTTACGGGGTCCCCCCTAACCCTCTACACAACATTATCCAGTAGACGGATATTCTTCGACCCTCACCGGAACATTTGGACTGAATTTCAACCCCCTACCCCAAAGTTGACTGCTGGACGTAGTCTCTGGTGGATGAAAATCTTAAAACTGTTATAACGCATCAACTATTGCACTGATTCGAACGGGGTTTTTTCCTAATTTATTTAAAGCTAAAAAATTTCAGGCGGTCCTTCCTTTCACGCGGTTCAATTTACATACTGCAAATTTTTATCCAAATCGTTGGAGTCGTTTACGAGGAAGTATTCAAAATTTTATTTTATGTGTTATTTATATATGTTATGTTACGAGCTTAGGGTTCGTGACAATAAAAACTGCCGATTGAATTACCAAAATTGACACTTTAATTACCAAACAAAAATTAAAACTTAAAGCACACTAATAATTAATCACACTTAGCACTTTTAGCTCACTTTATTTCGCTCCGAAGTCTTCGCTTGTGTCGCCAATTCAATCTGCCCCGGTCGCGGCCCTGAACGGCTTTATATAGGCCTTTTCCACCGAAACATCTAGAATGTTCCAGCAAATACTGGTTCTGACTCACTAGGTGTAGAAAATTCGTGTGGAGTTTTCTAGAAAGCTTAGTTCTTCTATTCGATACTAGATGGCGCTAGTGGGAGTTCAAGAAAGATCTTGACGCTCCTATTTCTGCTACTTGATACTAGATGACACTAATAATCACCCGCCATATACCGAGCATCAACTATGGCGCGGAACAATATTATAGTATTCTCATTTGGTTGGGCTTTATATGTATATGAAAGAAAATTATATATTTACATGAATACATATTAGAGTAAAGTTTAATTAAATATTAAAAAATAAATAGATCTTTTATCAGACTTTTAGTTGCAACTCAAAGACGTATTAAGTCCTCCTCAAGACAAATCATAAGAGCCGGAACACGCTACAAAACTTTATCATGCAGTTCCCCTCGACTGCCTTTAGTTCCTATTACTAGATCAACGTGTTTTTTCAAAATTTAATGGGAAAAATTTAATTTTTTAATTAATTTAATTTAATTAAAAAAAGAATAATTAAAATCGGTTCACAATCTGGGAAGATATCGCGTTACATACAAAAAAAAACAACATACTCTCGAATTGAGAACCTCCTTTTTAAAGTCGGTTAAAAAGTGGAGCAAGATCAGCATAATATTAGTAGTTACAACATAGCCGAGACATTGAGGATTGACCACAAAGCAGTTTTGACCCATTTGAAAAAGTCCGGCTATACAAAAAAGCTCACCTGTGGATCACCTACAAGAACTTGCGACAAAGATCATGGTCAAAAGGTAGTCAAACTCCACAGACTGTAGCGAAATCCGGATTAACACGCAATAAGATGATGTATATGGTGGGATTGGAAAGGTATTGTTGTTTATGAGCTTTTACAGCCGGGCAAAACCATAGATTTGGATCTGTACTGCCAACAACTAATAAGACTCAAGCAGGAAATTGAGAAAAAACAGCCGGAATTAAACAACAGAAAAGGAGTGGTCTTTCATCATGATAAAGCCAGACCACACACACCTTTGGCAACTCAGCAAAAATTGAGAGCTAGGTTGGAAAATGTTACTGCATCCGTCATAATAGTCCTGACCTTGCACCCTCGGTTTTTCACCTGTTTCGGTCTCTTTAGAATTGTTTGGGTAGTGTTAGGTAAACATCAAATCAAGACAGGACTGTCAAAACTACTTGTTGCATTTTTTGTAATCAAAAATTCCAAGATTTTCACAGCAACGGGATTATGTCACTACCTACAAGATGGCTACAAGTTATCGAACAAAATGGCACATATACTTATTATAATTCTTGAATTTGTATATAAAATACAAAGAATTCCCCGACATAATAAAAAACTACGTGTCACGTGGCCACTTCAACGTGGTATACTTCTGGTACTGCGCCAAGCGCAGCGTTCTCACACCTTTTAACCATTTTTAACCCCCGCAGGTCACCTCTGTTCCCCTCAGTCGCACCGTGTCTCAGTCTCAGTCGCACAGTGGCCTCCGTCTTACTTTTCGATCATTTTATACAATAGACGATAAAAGACAGCTTGATCTCTGCGACATATGTCAAACGGACATTCCTAGGGTTGTCAGGATATAAAAAATTGTCTATAGAAGTTATCGATGTTTCTTACTATTATCTATGCCAATTTAACATGTAATAATTGGGTTTAATTTAATTACAAACGTTACTAAATTAAACGAATATGTTTAATATAAAATGTATTTATTCTCTTAAAGGAGGGAATGCAATCCAGCACCCAAAAGATAATCTTGCATAAATCCGCAAGATTGAGACCATCAGTCCCGCGGATCCGCAAGATTTGCAGTATTTTACCTTTGACCTGACTTTTACCTCTTTAGCCGGCGTTAAAGTATTTTGTTGTGAATGCTGCTGAGAACAGCTTGCACTGCGGTTTTAGTATCACTAACGCTGTTTCTTATACTTCGTACGCAAGTGTACTTGCAGGCCCTTAGTGGATCGAGCGCTTATTTTGATGATAGAAGGAAAACGTTTACACTTAACAGAAATGCCATCTTCCGATCTTAAGAAGATAAATTTATTACTGTCGTATTCCTTATAAATTACTTTAGCATTCATTTTTAAGTTCCCGATTACAACTTTACTTATAGCCAATTATTAATTAATTAATTTTATTTAGATAGAATGTTGCGGTTCAAATATAAAAATAAACCGTTTAAATTTATTTCAATTTAAATCGCATGTCACATAGTACGCACGCAGTACGTCACGAACTCACGAGTCAAACTGAAATAGTGCATTAGTAATCGACATATATTTTGGGGAATCAACTTTTGATGGCGGCACTAATTAGGTCGGCATGCCCATAAAGTATGTCATTGACAGGTACTGTCTGTACTACTAAGAAATTCAGGACTTCATAGGCGTGATTTTACTGACAGCTGTCGCAGAGATCAAGCTATCTTTTATGAACTAGGTAATATTTAATCCGAACAAATTAGTAACACCAACAGAAAGTTACGAAAGGAACGAGATAAATGACACACAGTTAGGTATAACAACATGAGTATATTTCATTAAGGGTCCCAATTTACAATCACTTATATAAAAACAAAAAATAAGGTACATATCACTTTCAATTTTATAATAAAATATCAATAAAATGTCAACAGATTATAAATTGATTAAAAATAGTTTACATCTTATTAGTATGCTTAAAGTACAGTAGATGTAAAGCTAAGCTAGTATTATTAAAATTCCGATAATTACTTTGCAAATATGATATAACACAATGACAAATTATAAATCTTCCGACCTCAGACCAACAAAAAAGGCTCAATTTACACTACTGTGGAACGGAATAGACGCGAATTTTTGTAACGAAGTTGTACATAGTGAAATGAGTCTTATGTTAATTGTGTAACGCGCAAACTAGATATGAGCCAAAAAAGAAGCTCGCGCGTCTTCCGGTAAATTCTCGAGGATTCCCGTATCAACTGTCGGCGAAGTCTGCGGAATTCGCGGGAAGTGACGCGAAGGGCGTGGAATCCGGACTAACTTTTCTACGGCCCCAAGGCTAACGTCGTACAGCCCGAAGGCGAAGTCGCGGGAATGCTCGAGCATCGCGGCGAATTTGATGCTTCGGTTCCATTCCATTCCGCCGCAATGTAAATTGAGCCAGACAGGCTGAGCGCTGCATTTCCAGGGACGGTTCCAAACACACGGTCACATCTTTCTTCTTACTTTTTTACCAGTCGTATGTTATTTGTGGCAAATGATTTTAGATGCATATGTGTAACTGTGCATCACTTGTAATATCTGCAGCGCTCAGTTTATCTCTAGTTTTTTGTTTCACTTCACCTTCACTTCAACTTTATTGTAAAAATCGTTTTTAAATTTCTTCACATGAGTAATTTAACCTTTTTGCAGTCTACTTTCCGATCGACATAAATATCATAATTAAACCTAAGAAAGAAAATATCGCTTTTTATTATTTATTCATATTTCACAAAATGCATGTACATAATATCATAATTAAACCTAAGAAAGAAAATATCGCTTTTTATTATTTATTCATATTTCACAAAATGCATGTACATTAGAATATGTGTACTCAGTCAATAATCATATTATGACTAACTTTTATACATTCATTAGTTTTACCATGACAAATATTACGTTA